GTTTAAAGTGTTTAACAGTTATCAGAGTTGAATTTATCCAACGTTAGTTTTCATTCACTTTTGTGACTTCACACTAACATAAATTTTTCAGCTCACATTGATGGTGCAGGATACAATACAACCACATCTGCCCTAGGACGCAACAAGGCTGCCATAGACAGGCACCATGTGGTTTTCTGATCACGTTTACCAGGCAGTGGGGGTTATGTGTCTTGCCCAGATATGTCTGAGATGGAAGGAGCTGGGTTTTAAACCGGCAACCCTCTGTTTTCTGGAGGACTTTCTACACCACTGTCGGCCGATAGAGATGATAGACACATCCACAGCTCAGAGGTCCACCATTGTTATTGTAAGCAAATGCTTTTTAGAGAGAGTGGGGTCTACTTAGCTCACCTGACTCACAGGGATGGTCTGACTTTTAGCAGCTGTCTCTAGAGAAAGCAAAAGCTTAAAGGAACAATAAGTAATAACAACAACTAATGTTTCAAATAAAAAAAAACACAAAAATTAGATAGCACGACCTGCTCCCTTCAGAGAGAGTGGACATTACACAGCTAGATTCAACATGATGAGTTTGTTTGCTGGCTACTATTATTTAGCAAAATAAAATACCAAATTCTGAGTTTTGATGGGAAATCTGGGAGCTTTTATATGGCTTAGGAACCAAGAAGTAAACAGCTGCCACACACTATGCTGAAGTAAGGTTTGAAAGGAGAAACACTTGACTAAGACAACGTTGATGGAGAGGACCAAATGTTTGTGGGGAGTTTACTATCCATTCTGAGTGACAAATAAGAATGAGTTGGGTTGATTTAATGTATATTTCTTACTTATGCTTCTTTAAACCCCAACCCCTAGTCAGTAGCTTTGTATTTCTGTGTAAAGCCAACAAAGTCACTTATCAGAACTTGTTTTCTTGTTGTTATGTTGCAGAGTTTCCTCCACTCTTGAAGCAAACACATCGCACACACAAACTGTGTTGATTTTAAGAAAACAATTAGTTGTTTGAAATCTATTTCCTTGGATAAACACCAATAGTGAAGAGAAACTAGCTCTTGCAATTACTGTTCAATTACACTGTACCTCTAACATACAACACCTAGAAAGTGGATCCCTTTGTGTAGCAACAGACGCTGCTATAAATCCCTGCTACCAGCAAGAACAAAAATTGAAATAGAGCTTTTAAAGGTCCAAACCTCTTGCCAGACTGACCTACTATTTATAGCAGGTAGAGCTAAAGAAAATAAATATATAAATAAAAATTAGAAAAATGGGACCAGGGCGTGACTAATAGGGTCACAGAAACATGTTGGCAGATGTGATATGACCAGATGTGATGAACAAAGTATTTTTTTAAAGAAAAGCTCAGTTGTCAAATTTTTTAAGTAACCGTGTTGCCATCTCATTCAGAACATAACAGTGTCTCTAAACATCACTTTGTTGCAGCAGCAACCCTGACTGTTATGGTTTCAGAAAGGTGCTGATGCATCGAGGATGAACTCTTGCCCCCAGCTCTGTGATTGGTCCGTTCAGTTTTAGACCAGAGCGTTTGAGTCTTATTGGACTTATTTAGGTCCCCTGTAAACCAGTCTGGCTGTCCAGGTTGACAAACCTCAGTACCAGACACAAGCAGTTTATATTTTGTCAACAAAGCGGTACCTTACTTTGTTTTATATTCTACTCTTAATAAGTAGAAAGATTAGCTGTGCCCACTCACTCTGAAGGGTCTTCAACAACAAGACTCAGATGAGGGCACCAATAACTGAATGTGAACAGCTCCCACTTAAGAATTTTATTCATTGGGAAAATGTTGAAAATGTGGTGTCTTTTTTCTTTTCACTGCAAATTAGATTTTTTTTAAATCTAATTTGTATTTCACATAACATTGAAAAAGTTTATTTTTTACTTTTTGTTATTTTTTAAATTCAACACACTCGGGATATTAGGACCTGAGGGGGAGGCTGGTGACGTATGTACTTATGCAACATCACTCATCTTGAACATTTAAAGCTACAGTGTGTAATTTTTAGCGACATCTAGTGGTCAGACTGCAGACCGCAGCAACATGAACATCTCCCCCCCACCGCTTCTCCCCCCCCAACAGTACGGCGAGCGTTACGGGACAAAATGTCTTCCACGACGTCCGCATCACCTACCTTCTCAAGTGATGAGGTGTCTTTACATAGATAATTTTACAGATAGTATTTCATTAGTCTGTGTAGGGTATAGATTTCATGTAGACTTAAGATAATAAATATACCCGTTAATTTTTCTACATCGTTGTGACGTTTTGGCGATCTCGCAATTGCTAGTTTGTTGGCTCTGCGCTTCCGTAGCGCAAAGATGTCTGCCGGCTGCGAGACCCGCTCCTATGTAATTATAAATAACGAATTCTAAGGCAACGCAAATATTAAGGTTAAGAGGCTGAGCTCGTAGATGATAAATGACATAGTTATGTATAATATATTACATTTCTGACTGTATATCCCTGTAATTATCACACACTAATCCGGTGAATATGCTTTGCGATTTGCTATAAAATTAAAGTTGGTAAGACAATCTTATGAAAGACATGAGTAAGATGGATTATGAACAATGGAATGATACATAAAATGTTTTATTAGAAATCAGTTGTATCATTACTTTAGACGTAACTACCGTAGTTGTTGAAATCTAACTTTATAAAACCCTGCTGTTATAGAAAGGTGGTCATACCAGAATGGTTTCCCTACCTTTTGTTTTAAATTGTTAATTTTTTTTGTTTTGTTCAAAAGCATTAAGCAAAAGCAATTATTAATTATTATCAGTCTTATTTTAATCTTATTTTAATCATTACAAAAAGTGATTTGGTTAATAAAGTGTCAAATAATTTGTTTTAACAGACATGCTGAACAATGTCAAATTAAAATATTTACTGCAGAGAGGGGATCTGAATAAACTTGCATAACACAGAATCATTCCTAATTTTGATTGTTTATTCTGAAAGCTGTGAGTTGTAAACATTGTTAATAGATGCAAAAATTAAAATGACATAAAATGTATTAAAAAATGCTGAATGACATACTCATTGGTTTTGCAAACATACTAGGTATTCTAATCCTAAAACAATGAGTTGTTGTTTGTAGTCTGTATTGTGCTGAGGTGATTTACTCCTTCATTGTGGTTTGTGTTAGTGCCCTGATCATACCGTTTGTCTGATCTGGAGCTTTGTAACCAATCGCCGAGTAGAAGGCGGGGGGACAAACAGAGGTGGGTGGGGGGTGGGGCGGGGCGCAGGGATGGCTGGTTATTTTCTTTCTTTATTTATTTTTTCAGCACCACGACAGCTCCAGTCACTTGTGTGTGGGCTGCATGGAAGCGACGCTCAACACGCGGCAAGATCAGGTTAAAAAACCCCGACTCATATTGATCTGTGGATGAACCACGAGTTCACAGCGCGGACGCAAAGCTTCCTCCATCCCCTCCTTCTCCTTGATGCCTGAGTTATCTCGCTTTGTGGCCTGACTGAGAAGACCAACCTCCTTTAACTGCATTGCCTCTGCGTCTGCTGGCTTTTGGCTCCTCATTCTCCTCTGTTACTGGCAGCTACGTTGTCGAGAAAGTGATTTTTTTTATTATTATAATTATTATTTTTGTAGAGAGCGTTGAAGTGGACTGACCTGTCCGAAGTTTTTCCTTTCATTTTTCTCCCGCTTTTTATTAAAGCTCTCCTCCTATGGCGAAATGCATCTGTTTAGTTCCCTGATTTAAAACAAATCCGGGAACTGAGGAGCAGGATTCATTTTCATGCCAAGTAGTGGATATTACTTTAGGATGCAGGGGGGAAGATGAAGTTGAATAGTTTAAGTGGCCTTTGGTGCATAATCTGAGATGAGATAGATGACCTGCATCTGCAACGTTGGCTGACTTCCTCACACCAGAGTTGATCATTTTCTATGGGGAACACATTGAGCTCAAGATGAGGTGCATTTGTGACTTTTTGAACTGCACCTAAGAAAAAGAGAGGGGGTGTCCCTCTATACTGCTTCTACGAGAAGAGACGCCTTTTCCTTTAGCCGTCTTAAGATTTAGAGTTGTTGCATCAAAGTGAACATTGGGAAAACAAAGAAGGCAGTTTTTTTTTTCTTCTATCCTCCTTGTCGCTGACATAAAAAAATATATTCCACAGAACGACTTAAAAATGAAGAAGTTTCGAAAGGTGTTGGACGGTTTGACCACGTCCTCTCCGGGAGGGACTATAGGGTCCCCATCGTGTGGGAGCGCGGCCGGGACTCCTACCGCGGCGCCAACTCCTAAGGAAATCGACGTCCAGGAGACGCTGGTCTCGGAAAACTTTCAGTTGTGTAAGGTGGGTAAAGGCATTTAGCTGCAAATCTGCAACATCAGAGAGGAGGTGCAGGATCAATAACGGCATCGACTCGCTTAGACTTTAGCTTACACTCTCTTTGTGTATGCCTGTCACAGATCATGTTTTTGAGTGTTTACTGGCATAAAAAAAACAGTCCTCTTAAAAGTTAGTTTTGAGCTCTGCTGCTGTTTCTGGCCGGGAACTGTCCTGGTTTCATACTTCAGCACCAAGGACAGCGATTTTAAATAAAACATGACCCATCAAAAATACTTCACTCCTGCTTCTATTACTCTTCTGGTTTTTATAACATAAGCTTGATTTTTTCCCCCCTTTAAACCAGAATTTTGTGCAGCTTATAAAAGAATCACTGGCAAAATGACTGGTTGTGTGTATGGGCAGGTTATAGCTCCCATCTGTATGTGCAGCACGGCTCCCGACATGAGCGCGTTGTGTAGCCGCAGTAGCTCACACACATGTGCTGCAAAACAGGGCAAAGGGAGTCAATGAATAGCAACCAACCCGGTTGCATCAGCAAGTGAGCACGAATGGTGTGGTATGGATGACATAACTGGTGTCCCTCCCTTTGCATAAGAAAGTGCACATCAAGCCAGCGGAGGGGCCCTGCAGTGCTGTCCAAGCTGATGCGCTTTTCACTGGCAAGGAGGAAGAGAATGAGGGAGGGGGTGAAGCTGAATGCATGGGTGGGGGTATTTATAGCAGCTACTGCTATGCATAGCAGCCAGTTATTTTTCTATGCATTTTGCAACCTTTATTTATTTATTTTTTTTACCTTTACCAGAAACTGGGCTGCATTGGGAGTATAGCTGTAAATAATTAATTGAGAAACAGAATTAAAAAAAGGGGGAAAAAACAACAACAACAGCATTGGATTGTTTTTGTAGAGCTGCATTATTACTGGGCAGAGTAAAACTGGTTGGGGAGGGACTGGATTGGAGAAGACTGTGGAGGGAGGTTGATTCACAAGCAAAGAAGGATGCTGCAGAGCACTGTATAGCAAGTAGAAGAATTTGCTAGAAAAGAGCAGGACAATATAGCCTGGTCCCATGCAGGAGCCTGTATCCCCTCACTTAGTGGCTCAATACATTGATGAATTGACTTAAGTTCTCATGAGAAAGCTGTGAATGCAGATATCTTACCTTAAAGGTACAATCACCAGGAATTTGGAGCTTATTCTCTTCTGAGAGTTCAGATTTATTTTATTTTTCTCTCTACCGCATAAAAAAAGGTGAAGCAAGGGGGAACTGATATAAGTTATAATTCTAAATTATGTATGATATTCAGGATGGAATGAAATGGCTCCATGCAACACTGGTATGTTATATATCTATTGTACAGAAATTAGGTGCAGATTTTTTAAGTATGTTAGTATGTATTCATAATAATAAGACCTGGATGCACATTTATTCTAGAAAGAATACAATAACTAAAAGAATCCGTAATTTAGCTTTCTGTTATATATTGAGAAAGAGGATAAACATGATTTACTCTAACAAATCCCTCATTTAAAATTTAAGTGGATTGAGATGCTTTAAAATTATGAAAAGCAACAAAGTTAATTTGAGTCAGTGTTTGGGTCAGAATAATCATCCAAACCTGTCTCTGAAACATATCGTAGCTCTAGACTTTCTTTAACCTGAAATAAATAAGAGAAACGAGAAAGACGTCTAATTTTACCCTTCCATTCATTATCCCAAATATATTTAGACAGGCTCTAGACTTTCTGGTGGGGATGTAAATATGTCAGCTGGTGCAGTAAGACGTGTGGGAGTGTTTGGCAAAGTTCTCAAAGTTAGTCATGACTTCTATCCTCAACGTGCAGTGTAGGACGATGCAATAACACATTTTTTTATGTAATACTGGATTTTTGTTTACATTCTGGTACAAAGACATTCTGTTTGATTAGTTAAGGTCGAAATGTTAAAACATGCATTCAATGGAATCTCACTTAAAAACTAGTTAATTAAAAAATTGTAACGCATGCAGGGGCAAAGGAGTCTCTGTGGCTCAATATATATTTTTATTGTATATAGAGGGACATTAGTTAATCTCATTTGAGATAGAAAAAAGAAAATAGATATACATCAAACTGAACTTCAATGCACTTGGTAGTAGCCGAGACATGACTTATCTTTTTTTTCTTAAAAATAGGTATCAATATTATTTTCTTTGTCTAGCAATAGTCTTGACAACAAACAACTGCTTCTGAAGCACTTGAATTCACCTTTATTTTGAGCACATGGTAAACAATGGTTTAATGTTGACTGTCATTAAGGTGACTTTAGTTTGTGCTGATTTTTTTTTACATCAAAGGTATTTTCACAACCTTTCTTTCTACACAATCTGAAAAAAGAATCAACCTAATCTTAAGCTATGTAAACTGTGTATCCTTGTTTTTTATCACAAGAAAAACAGTAAAGAGCAAAATTTTAGATTGTATAGAACATAAAAAAACTTTTTGTTAGGATGGTAAGGATTTGATGGGCATTCGTCAGATGCTTTGCCTGGGATCTAGAGATAATCTTACTTCCGTAGTTCATATTCACAAATATTTCTGCAGCCCTAACCATAACAATAAGAAGGTCACACTGGGTTGCAGAGGAGACATCATATCCTGACCAGAGGCTAAAATAGATAACAAAATACTAAAGCAGCATTTGATGTTATTGCTTATTGACAGAGAGTCTATAAAGGGAGCATTTGACTCAAGGTGCTTTTCTCAGTATATTTAGAAAGTGAAATTCTGCTCCATTTATAACAAAAAAGCTGAGAAAAAACTAAGAAAATAATGTAACTCTAGATAAAAGATAACAGTTAATCTTACACCACACTCTTATCAGAGAAAATTTCTGAAACAGTTTAAAGGTGAAGTACTGTTGTGTATAAAACACTATCCCAAGTTTTATACCTGTAATTGAGCACTGCTAAATCTACCTTTTAAAACTAGAGAGATTATTAAAACTACCAAGACGTGATCATCAACAGCTTTGCGAGGAATGCATTAATCTGGAGAGCAGTCAAGAGACCAATGCTAATGACTACAAAGCTGAGGAGGTAGAACCCTGTTAACAGGACACCTGTCACCCATTGACTACTGTACATGGGCATAAAAATGACTTGTATAAAAGAGTGACAAGGAGAACTTAATCATTGATTGACAGCCATAAGAAGGAAGCTATACAACCCGGCAGAAAAATTAAATAAAAACAAACATGTGAAGGCCTGAAATGGACTTTACACTTTGGTATGTGTTCATCTCCAGAGATGAAACAGAATGATTTAATGTTTAAAAATTACCCAAAGTTTAAAGACATAAATGCAGTCAACATACGTAGCAAAACTGGAAACTGCAATTCCATCATGAACTGCGTCGAAGGGTTAGTCTTAATCTGTTTTGTACAAAATAATTACAAAAATTAAAGCTGATGGTGGGCAAAGCTGGTACAGACATACCCCAAAAGATTTGCAGAAATAGTAAGTTTGCTCTATAAAACGTTGTGTCGGGGGAACGTATGCAAATTCCATCCACGACAGACTTGCTAAGACACATATATTTCTTCCAATTTACTGTTATGCACCATATTGGTACAGATTATTTTATAAAACTGCACTAACATCGATCTAAAGTTGCTATTGTGATTTGACAAAAAGTAGAAAAAGTATAAGGTGAATTTATACTTGCATGCAATAATTGCAATAAGTAATGCCACTTATCAAAATCTTAATCTGTATTAAAATAATTGGTGACAGGACTACTATCGGACATGACTAAATTGTCAAAATTGCATCAAAATGATCCGCATTGCAGTGCAATGTTGCCTATACTTTCAATCACAATCCTTAATAAGACTGTTGCTGAATAATGGTTTTCAAGTTCTAAAATGTAATTGTCTACATTTAACATCAGATGGTTTTAATGGCTGCCATTCACATACATTGAAGTCTTTTCTTCCAAATGACTACATTCATAATGCATGTGTCACTCCCAGCCACCTCCATAACCTCTTTGAGGCAAAGTCCCCTCTGTAGAATTCTGACAAAGGAAAAGCTTTCATATTTATATAGACATGACGATTATGACATTTATAATATATAACTTTTTTTCACACATTTAGTGACATTGACTTAAAAAAAGTTTTCTGAAAATTTAAACACTATTATAAAGTTTCTGGTGCTGTGTCCTCATGTTGCGGGCTTCAATGTGTGATGGAGACATTAGTCCTGAACATGGTCATTAGCTGAACTGTTATTAACTAATTGGTATTAGTTTAAATATAAGGGCAGATTCATTGCTTTATCAGCAATGCCAAATATTTAACTTAGTATTGCAGGTACATTTTGTTTAAGACACACAAATGATCCATGTAGTGCAGTCATAGATTATGTGGCCTTAATATTGTGACCTTTGAGTTTGCTTTATTTAATTTCATCAGTAGAGGCGTATTATTGGGACATATATTTAGGAAGTGTGACAGCGGCATTTACATACTACAGCTATTAGTGTTATTAAAGTTATTTCAGTGGTAGAGTTTTATTTTTATGTTATATACAGTATGGTTTGAAATGAATTTTACTTAAATACATTTACATAACAACTTTTAGTTTCTTTTTACATAGCCTATCACTTCATTTCATAAATAAACATACTTTAATGCTGTCTCGTGTTAAAAGAAATGATTGGTTGTTTTTTTGCTAAAGCACTGTTATAGTATACCTTTTATAGTTATACATATAGCTTTGCCCTAAATCAGTGAAAGCATGATGTATAGTATATGTTTTTTTTCACCTCAACATCTGCCTGTAAATGTCTGAGCTTTAATACATAATTGTTTGTTTTTTTAATTAAGAATTTTCTAAACGGTGTGCTGCTACAGTAGGTCATCTTGTCCTCAATGCATTTTTTAATCATCTTTAATAAGTGATTAAAGGAGATGTACAATTACCCAGAGAAGCAGCGCAACTGTTATGAATTAGATATGCTT